CGTCTGTGCTAAAGCTTACGCGGGCCTACGCCCCATGTTATGTATCATACCTATCTCGGTGCCAGAGTGCGCTGCCCTGTCCATCCTGTCTTGCGTGTCCACCACTCTCATCCCTGTCCAGGGTGCCCCCCGTGCCCTGGGGCGCCGGCGCCGATCCAACTGGAGTGCCTGGCTCTCGAGGCAGCCCGAGCTGAACCATTGGAGGTCTTGGCTTCGAGATGGTGCTGTTCCTCCAGGCCTCCCAGATGGAGTCGGAGTAGATGGGGTCGGATGATCGCGCGGCATCGCCGATGTATCGCCGACGCGGCTCGATGGCGAGCCCGATTTGCTTAACGTCGACGTCGCCGATGCATCGCCCACGTCGACGATACATCGTCGGTGCATCGCCGGTGCATCGCTGGTGCATCGCCGATGCATCGCCGATGTATCGGCGACGCGGCGCGACCCTCCGACCTTGTCAATTCCGACTCCATCTAGGAGGCTACTAGTTCCTCATCGTGATCAGCGAGGGCGTCGGGGCTGGCGCCAGGTGCCTCGTTGCGTCTACGTGCCGTCGGGTTGTGTCTGGCCGCCTCGTGATATCGTCGATCGAGCAAAATGTCGGCAGGTCGGCCCGAACGCTGGGGCTGGGTCCTGTATGTCGGCGACCCGCTCTGGCAGCGATCTGGGTGAGCAGCGATCGCGCTCGCCCTCCTGGGATCACCCCTCACGACAGCTATCGGTTCCGACCGGCCCCGCTTGCAGCGGAGCTCACGGATCTCCAAGCGGCTGGTGAGACTTACGCGGGCGCCGTGCTCACCTAGGATCGGTGGCCACATCTGAACCCTACCCCCACCCCCCACGATTTCCAAGGGGGGGTGGGGTTCATTTCGTTCGGGAGCTCCCGAGCGGAGTGACCCCCCCCTTAGAAATCGTGGGGGTGGGGGTAGGGTTCACATGTGGCCCCTTCTAGGAGTCGGCCAGCGCTGGCGCGCCTTTCGTGGCTCCTGCGGGGGGCTGCCTCGCGCCCCTCCCGGCGGCGGGGGCCGGCGGGCCAGGCGCTCCGGCAGCCAGCGGGGCCGCCGCCCGAGCGGCGGCAGGCGTGGCGCTGGTGGCTGCTGGTGAGGCTGGCGTGCTGGCCGCGGGAGGCGTGGCCGTGGCTGCTGGCCCCGCCGGCGGAGTGCCCGCGGCAGCGTCGGCAGCCGCGGGTGGCCTCCGCGGCGGCTGCGGGCGCCGCGGCGGCGCCTGGCCCCCAGTGGGCAGCCGCCGAGCGCGCGACCTGCCCCGAGCGGGGCGCCGTCATCGCTTTCCCGGGTGGCGCGTCCGCGCGGGGTGAGTTGGCGGTCGTGCCGCCCCCAACTGGTGAGATCGTTGTCCTGCGCAGTAGTCGTGCCGTGGACGTCGCGGTGTGCTCTGCTTTGAGGTCCGTGCGTGCCCCTTGCCTGCTCGAAGGCTCGCCCTTGGGGCTGGCCTGGCCGCGGCGCGGCTGCATCGAAGTGTGCAAAGACCTGCTCGAGACACCATGCCCTCGTGGACGGTTCCTGGGCCTCGCGCTGTGAAGTTGTGCGCGGGGTGGCTCGATCGCGCAACCTCGACGCCAGTGGCCCATGATTGTCAGTTTACCAGCACCTTCGGTCTCAAGCCCGACTCCTAGGGCGCGGACATCCACGCCACGGCGTTGCGGGTCTTGGTGGAGACCGCCTGCTACGATGGCGCAGTTCTCAAGCAAGTTCGCAAGGCCAAAGAGGAGATGGCTGCGCTCCTCAAGAAGCAGTGACCATGACATGCGACGGCCCGAAGGACGTCTCTACATCGGTGCTGGACCCACAGGCTATAGGCCTTCCGTGCTGGAGGCCATCCTCACCACCTCTGTTGACGACGCGTGCCTGCACTGATCGCCAGCGGGACCTTCCCCTCCTGCTTCGCGCGAGCCCTTCTGAGCCTGGTACCACCTCGTCCGTTCTCCGTTCTTGTGTCGGCCAGCTCGGAGACGTCACCTCCGCCAGGCCCACTATGCTTGCTTTGCGGATGATGTTGCTTCGAGTTTCAACGAGCATTGCTTTAGGAGTGCCCGCGGGTCAGGGGCCGTTTCCTTTCGCGCTGTTCAGCAGGAGGCTTCTCGCTTCATTCGTCGTGCGGCGGATCGTCTCGGGCCGCCCCCCGGGACTTTCTGGCGCGGGGCAACTGATTAAGCTGTGCGCCCAGCGCTCCCACGGGCCACCTTGGCGTCGATCGGCCCAGACAATGTCTGCCTTCTCGACCTCCCGCCCCCCTGTAGCCTTCATCGGCCTCTCGGGGACTTGCTAAGTCCAGAGGGTAATCTTTTGGCGGGGAGACTTTCTAGTGACATTTTTGTTGAGCGCCTTGCGCGCGAAAAGATTGCCCGCGATGGCCCTTCGGCCTTCTGCAGACGCTCGTCTTAGGTGCTCCCCGCGTTGCATGCCTCGATTGTTAAACGGCTCGGAGAGGCCGGCTTGGTGGAAGGGGGTTTGAGGTGTACGGCTTCAATGTGGTATGTGCTGTCTTCAAGAGGTCAGTCAAGTTGCGAGTCATCTTCAGTGGGCGTATTTGGGGCTGTTGGTTGTGGGATCCGAATTCTGTTCATTTGGCAAGTGGGGCCCTCGTTCGCGTCCATCTACGCCGATTCTCGCGAGCCTCTCTGAGTTGGCGGGATCCACTGGTTCCTCGAGAGACTGGTTGGGTCAGACTTCTCCAACTGAGACCGCCTTGTCGACCCCATGAAGGCCTCTGCAGGTACCTCGGCTCTCATCCACTATTGCCATTGCGGGTGTGCCTGCGAGAGGCCCGCCCGCATCGTGCCTAGCCTCGTCTCGTTCAAGCGGATGTTCCCCGGGGATCGTGGCCGCGAAATCCTCCAGGAGAAGGTTGCCGTCGCGTCGTTACCTAGGAAATCCCGCTGCGATCGGAAGACGAGCTTGGGGGGCGCGAATCTTCCCGACATCCGCCTACGGCCGGCCCTCTCTCTGAGTGCCCTTGCGCCAGGGGGCGCGCGGCGCGGCGATGCCCGTCCTCCGGTCCGCGGCGACTGGGAGACGAGTTGGCGGCCAACTTCGCGGGAGACGACGTCCAGCTCCAGCGCCCCGCGCCCCGGTTCCCAGCCGCGTCGCCCCCGTGGTAGTCCCCTCGGCGCCCCGGCGGGGCGCCGCCTGGACATGCCGCTGCCGATTGGCGCCTGGCAGGATGCCTGCGCCTTGGAGTTCGCGCCGCGGTGAGCGCGGCCGCTCGCCGGGCCCGGGGGGCGGTCGGGCGCGCCGAGCCGCGCGTGGAGCACCGGCGCGCGAAGCCGCCGACGTTGCAGCAGGGCGCCTGCCGCAGGTTCGAGGCGCGGGCCTCGTGGCAGCGCCCGCCGCGGGCGCCCCGCGACGAGATCGACCTAGCCGTGGCGAAGTCCCTCGGCCACTTGTACTTCCAGGTTCTCTGCGCCGCCCGCGGTCGGAACGCCGCGCGCGGGGCCCGCCGCCGCCGCGCGCCGCCCGCCCCCGCGGGGGGGGGCTGTCCTCGTCGCGGACGGCCTTGCCGCGAGAGGCCCCGACGGGGTCGGCGCCGTTGGGGCCCCTCGAGTTAGCCGCGATGGCAGCGCGAGGCCCGTCAACGCCGTGGCGATCGCGGGCGTCGACGTCAGCCGAGGGTCAGCTGGCCCCGACCCGAAATGCCCGAAGCTGGGGGTCACGTTGGCGCCTCAGGCCGACGACCTCGGGCAGCAGCCTGCCCCCCTGATGAATTCGGGGGGCCGCGACTGCGCCGTTGTCTGTGGCGACGGCCCGAGTTTGGAGGCGGGCCGCGCGGCGCGCCGAAACGCGCGGCTGCGGGCCAGGCGCCAGTGCCGCTGGATTCGGCCGCTCATCCCCCTCGAGCTCGCCATGTGCGAGCAGCTCTTCAACGAGGCGGCCTCCAGCGTAGGCCTGTCGCAGCTTCGCGCCACCCCGCGCTGCGCCTGCCGCGGCGGCCCCAGCGCCGACGCAGCCCGCGAGCTACGTTCTATGCAGGACATTGAGAAGAGAGGTCTTTGGATATTGGCCCCTAACGTTAGAAGGTATACAAACTCACGGCGTCTTCATTCGGCAGGTGGGCAAGATGACGCTTGCCCGGCTCCGTGTCGTGCCCGCAGCCCTCAAGAGGCTGAAAGATCATTTCGAGTATCCTTCAGCCGTGAAATGGTGACCCCGCCCGCCCTTGCCTTGAGTTCGTCTGTGCGGGTGCGTGAGTGTGCTCAGAAGTATTACGATGCATTCGACTATTGAAGCAACTTGTGATGACCATCGCATGAGAAGCGTCGTGTCCGTGTTGCGCCGTCGGCAGCAACTTTTGTTCTCTTTATCTTTTTCGGTCGCTTCGCGCGCTGCGCGTCTGCTCTGGTCGCCCGCTTAGAGATTCTACCTGGTGCTCAAGCAACGTTTGGTCTCTGACATCTCTTGCTTTGGTCTCGAGGGCGATCGCCCCGTCCCGTTCCCGCCCGCCCGCGCCTTGACGAAAACGTGGCTGGGGATGTGCTCAGAGGTATCTGGATAGATGCAGGTGTTGATGCAGCGTGTGACGACCATCTATGAGAAGCGACGCGAATGAGTTACACCCTCGCCAGACGCTGTTCTGCTCGTCATCGTTTCGTGCGCTTCGCGCCCTGCGCGTCCGCTCTGGTCGCCTGTGCAGAAACGATCAACTGGTGCTTCGGCAACCTATATATATACGAGTGACTCATTGCATACACATGAGCTGACTTCTACAGGTGTACACATGTAGTTATGAATATTCTGGAGTGTTTAAGATCATGAATGTATACACGCATACGTGTATCAACATGTAATTTCATGCTGCGCAGTTGTTGTGTGCAGAAGTGCAGGTTTAACAGCATATGACATGTTATATTGATCAAGAGGGCGGGAATGACATCGAACACAGAAACATAGAGATGGAGTGGGGGACAGAGAGAGATACAACACATTCACACATATACATATAGATGTATGTATGTATGTATGTATGTATGTATGTATGTATGTATGTATGTATGTATGTATGTATATATATACACAGAGAGAGAGATAGAGAGAGAGAGAGAGAGAAAGAGAGAGAGAGAGAGAGAGATAACGAGAGAGAGAGAGATAAATAACGAGAGAGAGGGCGATATATAATATGCAGATCTATGTATAACCAGAGCGGGATAATAAAGAGAGCGAGAGAGAGAGAAAGAGAGAGAGAGAGAGAGAGAGAGAGAGAGAAAGAGAGAAAGAGAGAAAGAGAGAGAGAGAGAGAAGAGAGACAACGAACGAGAGATAAAACGAGAGAGATGCACCTTCGTGTCTTCCGTCAGGACAGCGTATGCCCCATGCCAGGGCCCAGGCATTGTGGTGCTGCACAGGTGTCGTCTGCGTACCCCCTCTCCCCTCTGCGGGCCAACGGCCGCCGCTGCGCAGGCGAACCGAGCGGGGCACGCCTCGGTGGATGGCCGCGCCCCTCTTCGCCGTGGGCGGTGAGGCGTTGGAGGCGGCGGGCTCCTCGGCGTCAGCCGGGACTTCTCTGCAGGCCATCCAGGAGGGCGAGGAGGAGGAGGAGGCACCAGGGGGAGGTAACCATACTTCTCGCTCTTTTGGGCCTCCTGGGGAATCTCGCGTTGCCACGGCCGATCTGCCTCGAGATGCTGGTCAGGACGCGCTTGGGGGGACGTCTGGGCGGGATGTCTGTCATTATCGGTACTTTTGGTTCCCCCAGATATGGCGTGTGAGGGGATCTCCCGCGGTTGCAGCCCAGGGCGTGCAGCATGGTCGCAGGGCCGCAGCCCTCAAATCGCCCGCGCGTATTTTGTCGCCGAGCGCCCCCTCACAGCCACTGCCCCCCGCAGCGGGGCCTGGAGGTCGACAAGGCTTGCTCGTTGCTCGGAGGCTGGCCGGGAGCGGTTTCGGGGCTGGTATCGAGTTGGTTCGGGCCAGTGGAGATGGGCTTGTTGCTTATGCCCGCGTGGCCAGGGGCCTTCCCCTAGCACCCAGCATCGTCCTCAGGGGCCCAGTCCACCCAGTTTGGCACGCTCGGCACTTTTCAATGGTTTGGGACAGAAAACCCTTTTCCCCCTTCTCCTCTCTTGCATGTGTGCGAATGTCGTCAACTTGTCCGCCACGAGGGTTTCCAGTCAGCCCAGAGCGATAGATAAAGAGCGAGAGAGAGAGAGAAGCCCAGCCTGCAGTTTGGTGGGCGCCCGTCCAAGAAATAGCGTGTCCTGAGTCCTGAAAAAATTGCGTCGGTCGTTGGTAAACAATCGAGAATTGTAGGTTCGATGAGTGTTCGGAAGCGTGGGTCGGTGAGATTTAGCGAGGCAGCGGCACAGCCACCGGTCCGGCCATTATCATCTATCTCTTGTTGCGAGTGCAGCCCGTGCAGTTCCCCTGCGCACCCCGTTTGCGCCCCAGCCCAAGTCGTTGCCGGGAGGCGAACCCAACCGATCTGTCTGCACGCTGTGCACACCCAGGTCCAAGCCGTTTGTGGTAGAAGGTCCCTGGCGAAACGCATCGAGTGGCCTTCGGCCCATCCCGCCACCGTGCCTGGGCTGTGGGTATGAAGCCTGTTGGATGCTCGCTGGCATCTCGTGGGAGGCTTCTCAGGGGCCTCTTGGAGGCAGTTTGGGCGCCTCTTGGGGGCCGTTTAAGGGGACTCTTGGGGCCTCTTTTGGGTTTCTTGGGGGCCTCTTGCCTCTTGGGGCCTCTTGGGGGCCTCTTAGGGCCTCCAGAGGGGCCTTGGGGCCTCCTGGAAGCCTCTTGGGGCAGATGTGGCTCGGATTTTCGGTTCGTGTTCCCTCTTTTGGGCTCCTTTTGGAGCCGTCTTGGGGCCCCCTCGGGCCGTTTTGGGCGCCTCTTGGGCTGTCTTGGGGCCCTCTTGGGTCATTTTGGGGCCCTCTTGGAGGCCTCTTGGGCCAACTTGGGACGGTCTTGGGGTCTCTAGGTCCGTCTGGGAGTGTCGGGGAGCCCAAAAGGCGAGAACGTCAAAATCCTGATAACACCTAATGAACATCTATGATTTTGGCCCCGGCCCTCTTGGGGGCCCTCGTGGGGGCCATCTGAGGCGTCCTGGGGCGATCGTTCGGCGACTCGGGGCCTCCTTTGGCTATCTTGGGGGCTTCTTGGGGGCCCTCTTGGGCCCTCTTGGGCCCGAGCAAGTCATGCGGGGAGACCCGGGGGAGCCTAGGGGCATCGCGGCAAGCTCCGAGAGATTTGGCAATTTGGGTTCCGGTCCCCTTCAATATTCTTCAGGACTGAGGACTGAGGCTCTGGGTATTGGGCAAAGGACCTGAGGACACGCCCACTCCGTGCCCAGAGGCACGGTGGCGTATATCTCCTTTTTGTTTGCACTCCACGTGTATTGCCCGCACCCTCCTTGCCCGCTGACCAATTCGCCAGTTAGTGCCCCTACCTGGCTGGACGCTGGTGCGGATTTCGCCGCTGACGCAAAAATTGCCTGCACCCTGTGAGCACAATGGCAAGAGGCAGGTTCCACGACGAAGCTTCGCACGTCTCAGCGTTCGTGTCCAGCATCCCACTTCGCCAAGTTGAGGTACGATTTCTGCCAGCGTGCGCTCCGAACAGGACCACAAACAGTGAGCTTGTGCACTCTGGCTGTGCAGGCCATGTGGTCGAGGCTGCGTGGTGCAGGCAGTTCACGGGGCGCCCACGGGTGGCGGGCGTGGGGAAGCCCAGAGCTTCCCGACCGCTCACGAGGCACGGCGACGTGGCGGAAACCTCGAACTCCCGGCCGATTCCTCCCTGCGGGAGTAAGAGCCCCCTCTGAGTGCAGGCATTGCTTGTCGGGGGTTGCTGGAGGGGCCCCTGGCCCAAGGTGCCCTCCCAGCCTTTTCGCTCACTTCTGGAGTCCCCTGGGGCCACGTGGGCCTCGTGGGAGGTGCTCGGGAGGCCGCGGGGGCCTCCTCGAAGATCCTGGGGGCACCTTGGGCCAGGGCCCCTTCTAGCAACACTCGAGCTCCAGGAACTGAGGGTGCAAAGCCCCAGCTGGGGCGCCACGTCGGATGCGTGTCCGCCTCCCCGCTGGCGAGACGTCTCCTCCGTCGCATTTGCACCAGGCTCCGCGCCCCTAGAAGCTAGCGGCCCACCTGTCGCGCCGCGCGCACTCGAGGAGGAGGAGGAGGAGGAGGAGGAGGAGGAGGAGGAGGAGGAGGAGGAGGAGGAGGAGGAGGAGGAGGAGGAGGAGGAGGCATGTCCAGGTCCACAGTGACAAAGCAGGCTGGTACATGCACATCTGCCGTCGCGGCCATGCGGTATTTGTTCAGAACTCTGCGTGCTGATTGACCTGCCTTCGCCAGATGACAGCCGGATGCTTGCACTCTGCCTGAACTTGTTTCGCCCAGAGGCTGCTCACACGATGGCATGCTGCTTGACCCACTGTCGCCCAGGGGCGTGCTGAAAGCTTCGCCGAGCCGTGACACGTGGGCGTGTTTCGATACGACACCTGGGACGTGGCGTGGCCTTGTGCTAATCTTGCGCGCTTGCGGCGAATCGGTTTTGACAGCGGCGATCTGCTCGCCACGATCTTCGTGCGGGGCACGCGCTGGTCTCGAGGATGCCTCGGGCACTGCAGGCCGGGCCCCGACGCACCTCCGCACGGCACGCGGAGCACGTTTCTCCTGGGACGGCCCCGAGTCTTGGATGGCACTGCCTCGAGCACGGCAAGCACTGGCCTTCCGCAGCTCGGGAATCGAGCGCCTCCCAGTCGCAGCTGGGGGTGTCCTCGAGCCTCGGACGGTAGTCGCAGAAAGGGTGGGAGGAGACCCATGAGGAGGACAACGATTGCGTCGTCATCGTCGTCGTCGTCGTCGTCGTGGTCGTCGTCTGCCTCCTCCTCCGCCTCCTCCTCCTCCTCCTCCTTCTCTTCCTCATCGGTATACCCTTGTCCTCGTCACGCTCCTCCTCCTCCTCGTTCTCCTCCTTTTCCTCCTCCTCCTTCTCCTCCTCCTCCTCCTCCTTCTCGTCCTCGTTCTCGATAAGATTGTGCATGTCATAGGGCCGCCAATTGGAGCGCGGCATCAGCAGCATTCTTGTATCCTCCTTATCCTACTTATCTCTCCCTCCTCCTCCTTCTCCTCTTTACCCTCGTCCTACTCTATACCTTCGTCCTCCTCTTTACCCTCCTTCTCCTCCTCCTCCTCCTCCTCCGTACCATCGGCCTCCTCCTCCTCCTCGTCACGCGGTGGAGGACGAGGGCATGGATGAGACATAGAAGGACGATGGCATTGAGGAGGATAGTGGTGATGATTAGGATGAAGATGCTGATGGTGATGATGTTGCCGATGGTGATGGTGATGGTGATGGTGATGATGATGATGCTGCTGCTGATGATGATGATAGTAATGATGGTAATGATGATGATGATGATGATGATGATGATGATGATGATGATGATGATGATGATGATGATGACGATGATGATGATGACACTGATCATGCTAATGATGATGATGCTGATGTTGATGATGCTGATGATGATGGTGATTATGCTAATGATGATGATGATACCGCAGCTGATGCTGCTGATGATGATGACGATGATGATGATGCTGATGATGATGATGCTGATAGGAATGATGAGGAGGAATGATGACGATGGTGCTGATGATGAGGAATGATGATGATAGGAATGATGATGAGGAGGACAGAGGAGGAGGAATAATGGTGATGATGATAATGATCATGCTAATGATGATGATGATGCTGATGCTGATAATGCTGATGATGATGGTGATTCTGCTAATGATGATGCTGATGTTGATACTGCTGATGATGATGCTGATGATGATGACGACGACGATGCTGATGATGATGACGACGACGATGCTGATGCTGATGCTGCTGATGATGATGGTGACGATGATGATGATGATGCTGATGATGATGCTGATGATGATGATATTGATGATGCTTATGATGATGATGATGATGCTGATGATGATGATGATGATGATCCACGCATCCAAGAAGGTCTGGAGCTCCCCGCTCGATACAGCCTCCCGAAGCCATGGCCTTTCCCTCTGGCGCTGCGGACGCAAGGCCTGACCCGTGCCGAGGCACACTCGCAGACTCGCCTGAAACTAGAGGCCACGCCATCCGCCTCGGCCGAGGCAAGCGGAAGGCAGGGCACCGAGCATTCACGGCAACTCAGCTTGCTGGCTGGCGGCACAGAGCAGAGCAAGCTGGGGCGCAAGAAGCGCAGACGCTGCCCAAGAGGGGCGGGAGGGAGTGAACCCTGGCGTGTGCCGAGCCCCACGGGGTACAGCCTACGCCACGGGGTCCCTCCCCCCCCAAAGGCAGCAGCTCGGCGCAGGCATTCGTGATCCTTGGACCCGCCTGCGACACGAGCAGATCCCGTGAAGGCACCAAGGCCCCCCAGCGGGCGGGCATCTGAGCGTCTAAGGCCTGGGGCGCCTCGAGTGGGACCCCGAGGAGGAAGCTGGCCGCTGCGAGGGCCAACCGCGAGGCGGCCGCCGCCTCCAGAAGCTCGCCTGCAGACAAGAAGCCTGTGTCGATGCCATCGCCATCACCTCGATCCTCCACCACGAGGGACGAGAGCGAGCCATCGGATGCGTCATCGTTGTGCTCGCCCGCGGCCGCTGGCGCATCCGAGCTCATCGCGATGTACGCCTGCAGCTGCTCCCTGAGCGTGGCGAGCTGGTCCCGCAGCGCATGCTCCGCAGCAGCCCAGCCTTCTCGTAGGGAGCGGATGTCCTGGGCCTGCTTCGCGACCAGGGCCCTGTACTGGGTGCGGTCCGACGCGGGATGGTGCAACACCCCCCTCAGCATGTCCAGCTGGTAGTCGGAGCCGAAGCCGCGGCCCAGGTCCACGTCGGCGTTCGCGTCCCTGTGCTGCCTTGCGCCCTCCAGCTGCTGCAGGAGCGCCGCGTCCCGCAGATCCGATTCCAGCGCCTCCGCGAGCCGACAGGGGCTGCTCTCGAAGGTCCAGGCGACCCCAGTTGAGGCCTGGCTCAACCGCAGCCTGTCGGGCAGGGATAGCATGCCAACGATCCGTACCTGGAGCACCTCGGGCAGCGGGGCCAACAGGGCAGCGGCAGGCTTGAGCGCGGGCCGCTGTGCCGCCTCGAGCCGCTGGCGCGAGACCCGCCGCAGCCGATCGAGGTGATCCTCGCCCCCCAGGAGCTCCGTCTGGACGCTGCCGTCCACTGCCACGGCGACGACCTGGTTCGCGAAGCTCACGATGGGGGGGCGCCGCCATCCATCAGTGGCGGCAGCGCCGCCCAGCACTGGGCAGTCTATGGCACCGGGAGCCTGGCAGTGCTCGTCGGGTGCCTCGCCGTAGTCGCCGAAGGGCAGCACGGCCGCCTCCGGGAGCGAGGGCAGCCAGCCCAGGCGGGGGCCTGCGGCGGCCCGCGAAAGGCCCGCTGCGGACGCGCGCGCGAATCCGCCCGCAGGGACCAGCAGCGCGTGCCACGCGGCGTTCCGCCGCCGCCGCATTGCGCCTGGGACGCGGCATCCCGCGGCGGCTCGGCGCAAGGCGGGGCGCGCAGCAGCCTCCCGGTCCTGCCAGGAACCTGGGCCGCCGCTGGCCGCCTTGCCGACTGCCGCCGTGGCGGCGAGGAGGCGCCGCGCCCGCGCCCGACGGCGGGCCGCCGAGGCGCCTACCTCGGCCTCCTCCCTCCTGCGCAGCGCACTGCCACGCCTGGTGGGCCGCCCCGCCATCGCGCCTGCGGGCAGCCCCCCGTCGCCATTGCTCATCTCCCAGTCGCGCGCCGCTGACCGCTGCGCGTGGGCGCCTGCGAAAGTCCGGAGAAACAGCTTGAGCCAAAATGGCTACGGATGATGATGATGATGATGATGATGATGATGATGATGATGATGATGATGATGATGATGATGATGATGATGATGATGATGATGATGATGATGATGATGATGATGATGATGATGATGATGATGATGATGATGATGATGATGATGATGATGATGATGATGATGATGATGATGATGATGATGATGATGATGATGATGATGATGATGATGATGATGATGATGATGATGATGATGATGATGATGATGATGATGATGATGATGATGATGATGATGATGATGATGATGAGATGATGATGAGGAATGAGGATGAATGATGAGGAGGAATGATGATGAGGAGGAGGAGGAGGAGGGAGGAGGAGGAGGAGGAGGAGGAGGAGGAGGAGGAGGAGGAGGAGGAGGAGGAGGAGAGCAGCAGGGGGAGGAGGGAGTGCTCTTGCGGCTGCTTCTGCGCACCCCCCGCAGAGGCACCCTGTGAGCCGGAACGGCCAGGGTGCGGGTGCGGTGAGCCTCGGCACGGCGGACGCTTCCTGGGCCGCAGCTGGCCCTGGGGCTACGGGGAGCTGCCCGTGGAGGTGGGCGGCCCCTCCCTCCGATGGGGGGGCCCTGTCTGTGACCACTTGCGAGCCAAAACCTCTGCGGGTCCAGGCGGCGCTGGGGTTTTGGACACCCCCGCTGGGGTCTACCCGGCTGCAGACGTCATTGACGTTCCTGAGTCCTCGCCGGTGCTTCAGAACTCTGGCCTGCAGGCGTAGTGTTCATGTGTGGGCGCCTGGCATGCGCACCATCACCATGCCTGGCCAGGGCCATCCTGGGCCGTGGCACTGTGGATACAGCTGGCACGAGACGTTAGAGCAACCCTAGCTTTGGAGGGATGCCTGTATGTTATTCAATTCGTGGTTGGGCTCTCCACCTTAATGTTCTTCCGGTGAGTATTTCCAAGATTATTGGGCTTTCGTCGAAGGGGATGATGTTTTTGATCTGCGTCCTTGCGGCCATGTCTCGACTGTACGCTCCCTTGGCCGAGACCGGGATGGTCTAAACACCATCCTGGGGCCCAGGATAGCCCTGGTGACGCATTGTGGGAGTGCAGAGGTGCCTTTTGTGGGTCTCTGTCCTGCGTGCCGCCCCCTTGTCCCTCCTCCACCTGTAAATGTCGTCGTCGGCGTCGTCGTCGTCGTTCTCCTTAGCCCCCAGCCGAGACATTGGTCGACTCCCAGCATGTTGGGTATGTTGTGGTCGGCGCCTCGGAGGAACGCGCCCATGTCGGCAACTTTCGCGGCCTCGGAGGGGAAAGCGTTCCCAGGGCACTTTCCCAGTCCTCCGATCCTCCCCTCCAACGTGATCCTGTTCACGCACGGGAGGGGTTTCTGTGAACCGCTTCCTTTGCGTTCGGGTCGATCTTGACGAAGCGAGCGAACCTTCAGGCGATTTCGTTGTGGGTAAAAGGCATTCGGGGCTTCGGAGGCAGTGGCCGCCCACGTCGAGCAGGCATATTCTCACGCACATGTATGGCAGCGGCCACTCTTAAAGCTAGGCATGACCTCGTCATCCTGAATTGAACTCGAAGGTCAGGTAATGACACTGATGTCTTGGATGGGCCCTAGACCCCCTTCGCTGGCGCGCGGAGCGCGTCAGGGTCGGCGCCAGAGGCGCCGCCAGCGGGCTCCATCATCGATCGAAGACAACCGCGCGGACCTCAGACAGTTTAATGTATGTTTCAATGATTCTCTTTCCCTCGATGACAAACCCGCTGCTGCGCTTCTTGAGTTCGATGAGAGAGGAACCTCGGCGCTGGCGGCACAGCGTGGTCACCGCACGCCAGTTCTTTAACAAGGGCTTTAAGTGATTCAAGAGGGCAGCGATGCTCCGAAGAGAATGCCCTGACTTTGTGGAGGGGTCGCCCCTCGCGAGCACCCGATCCAGGACCTGACTTGTCCACCCCGGGCAGAGCTCCCAGTCCGCAGCCCCTGCCGCACACGAGAGACCAGCATGCCTCGAACGCCCCGCTCTTGTGGCTCCTGTTCGCTGGCATGTGCCGCGTCGTCGCCCTCGCCATCGCCCCTCTTGGCTCATTCCCCCCCTCGCTCTTGGCTGGCCTCGCGCAGGGCCTCCCGGCTGCTGCTGCACGCGTCCCTGGTCTGCCGCCCCTTACGTACCCGTCGCGGCTCGCGTGCTCTCACGTGCCCACCCCTCCGTTATCATCCACCGCCCCATCTTCCCAGCACAACTCAGTGCTACTGCGGCTCTGCTGGCGTTGCTCTCCTAATTGTCCTGCTCATGCTCTTATCCCTTCTCGGACTCCTCGTGACTCCTCCCTCCCCCCCCAAGGCTACGACTACGATTAGCAGTGCCAGTGCCGCTGCTGCTGCGACTGACCATGCTTCTCCAAGGCAGGAAAAGCCATCCCGACCTCCATAATCGGCGTTTACCAGCAGCCCTGGGGTGCTACACAGCCCTGAGCTGTTCGTTCCCTTAATGAGGTACGTTTGCGAGAGGGCTTCGCTTCTCGGGGGGTACTACTACGAGGGTGTTTCTCTTCTGCCGTCTACTTCTACTACTGCGATCCCCCCCTCCTCCGCGGACGACTTGTGTGCACAGTACCGCGCTGGCGTCTCCCGAGGTGTTGCTGAACCTTGACCCACGAATGGTACGGCTTCGCCCCTCAGAGCCGAACAAAAGTGTGCACCTTACAGGGTGGGAGCGGGGCCTGAACGGAGTCCAAAACATGGTACGGCGCATGGGCGCCGTTCTCGTACCTCCACTCACCGTCCACCAAACCACCCCAACCCAACCCGCAGACCCCAATTTGCCCTCCGTTCCAAGTGGGGGGGTCGTCGTGGAACATTGGGAGAGCACATGTGGAACCCGTACACCTCCCCAACCCGAAATTTTGGTCTTCGGGTGAGGAGGGTTCCTTCGGGGGCGACGGCAATATGGGCCGACGCGCGCACCGAAAACTTGCGTGAACGCCCTGGCCGCGTACGGGTCCCCCGTCAGAGCCCCGCAGCCGCGCGGGATGGACACGCAGGCTGATCTTTGGCGCTAATGGCGCAGGCGGTGTTTCTCGGGTCGAGCGAGGGTGGTCTGGTAGGTTGTCACGCTCCTCGAGAGCAGAGCAGACAGCAGCCCCCCGCGCCCCCGGCCAGGACCTTGGCGCTGTGCACTCCAGCGGCGCCCCGCCGCTGGGCGCCGGGGCCCGCAGGAGGCGGCCGCTGCGCTGACCAATCCCTCCTCGTCCCGCCTCTCTGGTCCCTCCTCCCTCCTCCTCCTGCCTCCTCCACTCGCTCCCTCTCGTCCTCCTCCTCCTCTTTCCCCTCCCTCCTCTTTCCCCTCCCTCCTCTTCCTTCCTCTGCCTCCTCCTCCTCCTCCTCCTCCTCCTCCTCCTCCGTGCCCCGGGGCCCTCGGGTCCGAGGAGGGCCCCGGAGCGGCGGTCCGCGAGCGGCTCTCGCCGGGCCCCGGCGCGCCCGCGCGCGCGCCCGCCCGCGCGCCCGGCCCGCTCCTCCGTGGCCTTCGGCCGCTCCCTGGCCTTCGGCCTGGCCTGCGGCCGCTCCTCTCTCGGCCGCGGCGCTCCTCCTCGGTGCTCCTCCTCGGCGCCCCTTCTCCTCCTCGTGCTAGTGCTGTCCTCGTGCCAATACTGTCCTCGCGCTGTCCTCGTGCTAGTGCTGTCCTCGTGCGCCCTCCTACAGCAGTGCTGTCCTCCCCTCATCATCGTGATCATCAGCATCATCATCATCATCATCATCATCATCATCATCATCATCATCATCATCATCATCATCATCATCATCATCATCATCAGCATCATCGCCATCGTCATCGTCATCGTCATCGTCATCATCATCGTCATCATCATCATCATCATCATCATCATCATCATCATCATCATCAACATCATCATCATCATAATCATAATCATCATCATCATCAGCATCAGCATCAGCACCACCACCATCATCGTCATCATCCCACCTCCTCACGACCCCCTTCATCACATGCCTCGGAGGAGGAGGAGGAGGAGAAGGGGGAGGAGGAGGAGGAGGAGGAGGAGGAGGAGGAGGAGGAGGAGGAGGAGGAGGAGGAGGAGGAGGAGGAGGAGGAGGAGGATCCTGGTCCCGCATTCCTCTCTCCGAGGCCCTTGAGGCTCCTCCCTCTCCTGTCTGCGGGTCGCCCAGGATTCCAGAGGCGCTTTGAGGCCCCCTCCAGAGGCCCCTCCAGAGGATCTCAGAGGTAGGGGGTCGTGCGTCGCGCCGCGCGCTCGGGCGCGCGCGCGGCGCGGGCTGCGGCGGACAAGAACCGCTTTGCCCGCAGTGCCGCAGGAGGAGGAGGAGGAGGAGGAGGAGTTTTTGCTAGGAGCAGCAGCAGCGTAAGCAGCCAAGGGGGATTGACACCGCTGGTTAAAAGAGAAACAGAGAAGCAGAGACCCAAAAGGGCAACGGGCAAAACGGTTCGCTAAGCCGACCTGGATTTCCGTCCACAACACAGTGGCCCCAGTCATTGACACCGCACCTGGGAGGAAAATCCTTCCTCAGCCTCATGAGAGAAGTATACTGCTTCTTGACCAGAGACTGGTCGCCAAAACGCGCACTCTCACATTCTGAGCCTAGGTTCCCCAGCTCTGCGGAGGACGAAAATCACGAATATTTGCCGCACGCCGAGAACAAGCAGTGTGCACCTCTCGTCCACAGCTCGTGGGACAGCTGAGACACTTTGCCGAGGACCCCCCGACCACTGGGCAACCGACGCGGGGGGTCGCTGGTGCCAAGGGCCCTGAACAAGCGCTCATCGATGGGCGGTCACCGCCGATCGGCGTCTCCGTCGCTCCCTCCCGCGGGCGGGTCCTGCGCCCCCTGCTTCAACAGGAGGCCCTTGGACCTCAGAAGGCTCGGGGGGAGGGGGGCGGGCAGGCAGACCTGGGGCGGCGCAGGACATTGGTGGCGGTCTTGCGGACGCAGAGGCCACAGGCACGGCGTTTCCAACCACCTGGCAGCAGCACGAAGCGGTGGGCCGAGCTCGCGGCTGCCTGGGTCCTGCTCGCCGCCCTCCCGCTCAGGATTCTCGGGGGCGGAGGCGGCCGCCTGGGAGAGGGCGGCGCCCCGAAGAAAGATCGACCCGTCCTTCGAAACGAGCGCAAGGGCACGCTGACACGCATCATGGGGAATCTGACACTTCTCAGCTCGACTATCGGCCAACGCATGGGCGATAGCATTGGGGAACAAGGCCCCAGGAGACACAGACGACGCGTGCCGAGCAAACTTCCGATCATCATCGGCCAAGTGGGAGGGCACATGCTGGAGCTCAAAGGGCCTTGTCCTGTCGGGCAGCAGGGCGAACAGCTCATGCCACAAGTCCGCGTGCTCAAGCTTGAAGCAATGGAACTTCCCTTTGGCCAGAGGGCAGACTTGGTTGACATGATCACACCATAGTTCGAGATCGCTTGCTGGGTCGACAGCCCTACGTAACACACTCCACGACGGCCAGAAGCTCAGCCCTCGGCACCACCTGTTTAGGGCTGTCAACCATACCCGTGCACCCCGAGTCCCAGTCCAGATCCTTCAGGTCCTCCGAGACCGGGCGACAGACAGCCCAAGAGACCCTTCGCAGGAGCGGATTTTTCCCCCAGTGCCCCCCCAGAGCCTTCGATCCCATAGACTCCTCCAGGCAAGACGCCCGCTCCACATCTGACCCTGACGCAGGCACGGCAGGCCGGGGGAGAAGGGAGGTCGAGCCAACGGATGGGGATCAGACCACGGCACCAGAAACAAGGGAACATGTCCAATTCCTGGAGGGCCTCTGGAGTCATGAAGTTCGTGGCCTCGACTGCTGGGGGACCTTCTGGGGCGCCAACCTGCTGGGCCCAGGCAACGGAGTACGAACTGCTCTGGCACTTCCAAATCTGTGTTTGCCTGACTCAGGCTCAGCTTTACATCGCTGGCACGTGCTGTCGGTACGGTAGCCAGCCCCGGACCTCCTCTTCTCGGTCCAGTAGTCACCGCACGCGATCAAACGAATCATCACCGCCGTGGCATGGCGGTTGTCTTTCTCCTATCGAGCTGCCAACATCGGGACGTGCTGCCACCAAACTCCATCCCCTACTCCTAGTGCGTCCTCGTGCAAGGCGGCCTTGCGCCAGACGGAGGCTTCGATAGAGGCTTCGTGGGCATCCAGGGGGCAGGGGGGCGGGGCCGTGCCATTGCCCAGCAGGCTCCACTCATCCCTTGGGGGCTCCACAAACTGATCTACTGACGGGCGCTTTCATCCTAAAGACAACAGCGCGGCCTGACAAGGCTCCCATGGGCCCCCGAACATACCTCTACCCCTTCGTGACACGGTCCAGGGAGGCCTGCCATCCGAGGCGGGCATTTATACATACATGACCACCGCCCGGATGGTCAACTTTCGGGGACCTCGGCATGCGTTGGATCGGAGGTGAGGGGGTGAGATCGAAGTGGAACGGAGGCCCCCCTACCGGGAAATCGGTTTCGGTTCCGTGTTCGTGCGTGCCGTGCGTGCGGGCGAGGCGAAGCTGCGTGGGCGGGCGAGAAGAAAGTCTCCTCCGGCTTAGGCGCGGCCGGAGCAAATGATTCCTTTCCGGGGGCCGGTGGCCCGCGGTGTCCCGCCGGTGTCCCGCCTCCGGCTGAGGCGCGGCCGGACCAAATGATTCCTTTCCGGGGGCTGGTGGTCCGCTGTGTCCCGCCGGTGTCCCGCCAGTGTCCCGTCGGTGTCCCGATGATGATGATGATGATGATGATGATGATGATGATGATGATGATGATGATGATGATGATGATGATGATGATGATGATGATGATGATGATGATGATGATGATGATGATGATGATGATGATGATGATGATGATGATGATGATGATGATGATGATGATGATGATGATGATGATGATGATGATGATGATGATGATGATGATGATGATGATGATGATGATGATGTCGATGATGTTGATGATGATGATGGTGATGGTGGTGATGATGATGGTGTCACGATGATGATGATGGTGACGATGTTGATGATGATGGTGATGGTGGTGATGATGGTGTTCCGATGATGATGATGATGTTGACGATGATGAGGATGATTTGATGATGATGATGATGGTGTCCCGATGATGATAATGATGATCCTGATGCTGTTGATTATGATGATGAGATGATGCTGCGGAAAATGATGAGATGATGATGATGATGGTGTCCCGATGATGATGATGATGATGATGATGATGATGATGATGATGATGATGATGATGATGATGATGATGATGATGCTGATGATGATGATGATGATGATGATGATGATGATGATGAGGTTGCTGATGATGCTGTTGATGATGATGGTGATGGTGTCCCGATGATGATGATGAGGATGATGATGATGATGATGATGAGCTGATGCTGATGATTTTGATGATGGTGGCCCGATGATGGTGATGATGCTGATGTTGATGATGATGATGATGGTGTCCCGATGATGATGGTGATGATGATGGTGATGTTGATGATGGTGACGATGATGATGGTGTTCCGATGATGATGATTATGATGTTGTTGATGATGATGTTGCTGATGCGGATGATGATGGTGTCCCGATGATGATGTTGATGATGTTGTTCATGATTATGATGAGATGGTGATGATGGTGGTGTTCCGATGATGGTGATGATGGTGTCTCGATGATGATGATGTTGATGATGATGGTGTCGATGATGGTGTCCGGGTGATGATGATGATGGTGATGATGATTATGTTGATTATGATGGTCATGAGGTGATGCTCATGGTGTCCCGATGATGATGATGATGATGATGATGATGATGATGATGATGATGATGATGCTGCTGATGACGTTGTTGACGATTCTGGTGTTGATGCTGATGATGATGATGATGATGATGACGTTGATTGTGAGATCGAATGTGATATCGATAGTGGGATCGATAGTGCGACATAATGTGAGATCGATATTGAGATCGATAGTGAGATCGATAGTGAGATCGATTGTGGGATCCCTAGTCAGATCGATTGTGAGATCAATCGAATGAAATAGATAGAGTGAGATCGATCGAGTGAGATCGATCGAGCGAGACCGATAGTGAGATCGATAGTGAGATCGATAGTGAGACCGATCGAGTGAGACGTTGGTTCCTCCCCCCCGAACCTCCTTATCACCCGAAGGGTGGTCGTATAGGTATGGAT